TGCCATATTCAATACAATATTAGCAGATTACGATAGGTTTCTTTTGGGTGTTTTTTTTTAAAGGGGCGGGGGTACGCCCATTACGTCCTCACCTGGACCTGCCCCTGGGTACATATGGTTACAGGGTGGCAATCTGAACCATATCCAAATTATGACCAAGAGACTAAGTCCCTAGGGGTGTGGCAAGACCCCAGAGTCAATTCTAACATCATGATTGTTTTGGTCCTTTTATGCCCATTAATATATAATTGTTATGAGCTTGAAGACCTCTCTTGTTTCAAATTTTCAGTATCGTCCTAGAACTTCTATAGTTTTCAAAGACCATTCTTCAGGAAACATATATGTGTATACCTGTTTCTTTATAATTAAATGTCAAGATTGTTTTAGTTGGTATGTAATGGTTAATATTGTTCAAATGTGTGAGCAATTCAGGCTCTCAAGGCCTTTTGTTACTTGTTGTAAGCAACACTTGTTTTGGAGTCAATTCCAATTTCTCTTCAAAACTGTTTATAATATGCCAAAGCCATTTTTTTCAATGTCATAATAAAATTATGGTCATAGTTCAATTTTTTTTCTTTGACCAAGCATGATTTTTTTAATTATTGGAGTTATATTTAAGTAAATATAATTAATTTGCCAACTCTTATGTCAAAGTCAGGTCAAAACAGCTTCAGGAGCTTAATTGTTTCAATGTCATTAAATGTAGTATTTTCCAGATCTTTTCATGTGTGAAGGTCACAGATGAAAACGACAATTCACACGGACAAAGATCTTTTAATTGTCCAAGAAATTTTGATGCCACTTTCTGCACTTCTCTATGCATTAACATTACAAGGCAGTGTGCAGTGACTTTATACCTCTTCATGAAATTTTCAGCACTTAATCAATGATTTATGCACCCCTTTTCCCAAACACCCTCCATTCTTGACTTCTCTGTTAACAAATGGTATTTGTATCACTGTACAGCTTTGCAGTCTGACAAGACTGTTTTCCAGTGTTTTAGAGAAAAACAAATTGAATTCTCCCAGGGAATGTGTCCCCCAGCCTTGACAGTGATTACAACAACCTCTGTTTTGTTATCTTGGATTTAATTACAGTGAATACAGTAATGGAATGTTGTATTATTCCTAATTTCAAGAATCACTAAAAAAAACAAAAACAAAAATTGTTTTGCAGATTTAAATTTATATAAATATCACATATAATATTTCAATAATGAATAATATCAAATAAATAAGTTTTTCATAAAGAAATTTCAAATTCTTTTCCTAACATCAGAATATCATAAAATACATTGTTTAGTTATCTCCCTTCTGGTAGAACCAACAAATGATTACCTGGGCCGTTTTCGTTTATCACAGTCCAAACGGTTGAACCGGTTGGACCACTGTTATTCGTTTATGAAGTAAGGTCAGACCCAGTAATATGATGTTGCTTTCAGGCGAGCCTTGACAAAGCCTTGCAGCGCCTGCATAAACTTTTGCAGGGCCGCCAGGATTTATACCCTAAAATGTTGGGCCGCCAGGATTTATACCCGAAAATGTTACATTTAAAAACGGACGCATCGGTTGTTCCGCATGAACGAGCAGGCCCCTGGTATACTAACTACATAATAACAAGCTAAAATTTATATTCTGTAGTTTACCGTGTTAAGGACTACAACACCACAAAAAAAATGCTAAAAAAATGGATTCAACTAGAAGCTAAAGTGGTAATTAACCCCCATTCATCATATCATCAAACCATGTATGGCCATTTTTGTTTATCACATTCCAAATAGCTGGACCAGTTGGACCAGATTTGTTCGTTTATGAAATAGGGGCGGAACTATTGATTTGATGCTGTTCAAGGCCTACACTGTATTTACACCGGAAATATTACATTTCTAAAATAGGCAAACTGGTTGGTATGCATAAACGAACAGATCCATGGATGTAGTACTTTTTGTGGTTGCTGGAATGCAAGTAATACAATTTTATCGTATAAAGATACGTATATTTCATAATGTTGAAAATATTTTTTCATCAATATCTGATGAGTTATACTGATTACATATGTTTTAGCTGTGTATCGTAGTTTAACTGGTAGTAAAAAAACAGTTCTGGATGCTTACATTCACTCTACGGTCAAAAGTCAATTTGAATTTTTATTTATTTTTTCTTCTCAAAAATATACCTATAATAGCTAATAAATACATTTTGATTACTATATAAAATTTTACTATGTTTTACCCGTTAACATTCAGGGAATGTATATTCTGCTCTTTTTTTACACAAGCTATATTTTTTTTTTCAAATTAAATTTATACAATCTATTCCATAGAAACTAACTGCTAATAAAAGTCACTTCTAAATTCATGTACTGTATTGCTAAAAATAATATAGATGAATGTACAAGGATATAATTTTTCAGGGAACCATTGTTTTAAATTTATAAATATGTAACATGTATTTCGATCTCCCTGAGTCAAAGCACTGTGCAGTAGGGCATGGTCGGTCATTGCTAATTGTGGGGAAACATTTCTCTTTCTTTTAGATAAAAATAATCACAGTTGTACCTCATTGTGTAGAAAATGTATCATATTTCCGGTGATTTTGACCAACTGAGATGTTAATTTTATTGCCATATTATATGGAATGAACCACAATGGTTATAGCATGTCTACAGTTATCACAAGTGTCCTTCTGTTAAGGGTGTATGCTACGTGTACCTTAGTGCGACATAAATCCTCTCCTTTCAAAAGAGTTACACATGAACAAGGCACATAAATATCATTGAACTTTCACCTGATAACTTATTTGAAAAGTACACAACAATTAATGACCCATTTGAAATGCACACAATAATTGATGATACATTTTGAAAGGTACACAGGAATGAAAAATATTTGAAAGGTATGCAATAATGCACACATTGTTTTGCAATAAAATTGGTAATTCTTTATTATCTCTGCCCAATTTAGGAAAAATAAGAAAGAAACACAAATCACACTTCTGATATTGCATGACATACACCCTTAACAAGAAAATGTAAGGATGACAATTCACTGGAAGCTGAATTTCAGTTCACATTATCTAACAAATTCAAATTCATAAAAATATGAAGGATTTAATGGAAAATAAATTTCTTTCAAATTATTAGATTTTTCTGAAAAAGATATATTTACACCATGTTTTACCCAAATAAAAAAAGTTCTCATCTAAAAATTAAACTATCGTTCACAAACTCTAAAGCACTATGTATGGAAACTAATGAATAGTGTATCCCAGTTTTGCGGAAGGAAATATTCTTGGAAGGTCTTTCATCTTCTTAAGTTCTTCGCGACCACTAAGAGACGAAAAGTCATCTGAATAGTTATCACTTTCCAGCGACGGATTAAAGTCTCCGTCAGATGGCACATAGGAGCTAATAGACTCGGTGTGTAGAGATTCACGTTTCAACTCTGTGCGTTTCTCCCTCGTATTCGCCTTTCTCGGTTTAGGAGTCGGAAACCGAGAGCTTGTCTGTGACCTTGGAGTGCCTGTTGGTGAAGGCCTACCCATAGAACCGTCCAGTTTTACCTGTGAACGGCGCAGCGCTGGGATCGGTGACTGGAGTGACGCTTTTGGGTTGATCACCTGGAATCTTGCAGAGTTCATGCTGGCTGTAAGAGGGACTGGAGATTTGGCAGATTTTTCGGAGCTCATTACATCAGATAATTCCGACCGCTCTCCAGAACTCATAAGTCGTTGAAGTTCTGGTTCCTCCGTTGACTGAAACTGGTGAGTACTATAATCCTCTGTGGACTGAAATGTTCGGGACTTTTCTGGCATGTCTGCTTTCTCTCGCCGAGGGGAGATATCCGATTCAAATGAATCATCATTGTATAAGTTATTCGGATCCTCGGAAGATTTACGACTGTGCCATTTCTTTGCCTTCGGTGGAGATGGTTTAGAATTTCGTGTCGATTCCAAAGGTTGGTCAAAGTCATCTTCCTTTAATTCAAATGAATCATTGTCAAATTTATTATCCATGGCTTCCGCTCCAATGGAATCTGGTAAACTTTCATTATCATCGTGAAAGCCAGGGAATCGTCCACTTTTACCTTGTGCCTTTAGCTCTAAATCGCTGAAACTTTCATCATCATCACTTTCTTCGTGCATCTGGGCACTTGGAATGCGGACTTGGATGCTTCTCTGACTGGGAAGACTAGGAGAGTCTCGGTCAGAAAGATTCTCCTCTGCACTTTTCGGTTCAACATTTTTAGACCCCTTTAGTTCTGCAGACTTTGATTTTCCCAGGGCTTGTTTTGAACCCCTAGGGGACTTGCTTTGATTTCTAGACTGTTTTTGTTTTCGTCTTGGTGGAGAAATCCTCCTTCGGTTCGATTTTGATGTTGAGTTCATCGTTCCGTACAACATTGTATCTTCAGCCAGAGTATCTTGAAGGTTCTTTTCTGCCAAACGTCTGACCTCTGTCAAGGTATCAGATAAATAACCTGTCTCAAACTCCTGATCCTCTCTAAAACTCTTCTTTAATTTTTGTTTTTGAGTCTTGGCATCATTTTCTTCTTTGTCTACATTTTTTGCCCAATCAGGATTGACTCTTGCTAGCCTTAGCCTTTGTGTATTTGTCAGACCATAAGTTAACTTAGATTTCTTCACACCAAGTTGTGGTGTTTGTCGGAGCCAGCTTCTCTGTCCAGGAAC